TCTTCAGATGCAAGAAGAAGTGAGGTTCTTACCCACGAAAGCTTATGCTCCCAATACTTCTGTTAGTCTCAAAGGTGCCACAGGACCCTCTGTTGCTTTTCCCCCTCATGTTATTCTCCTAGGGGATCCTGCCCATCAGTTCCCTGAGGGAGTCAAAGTCTGCTTTTCTGAAGTCCAGGGTCTGTATTCTGCTGCTCTTCTTTCTTCCTTGTGTCAGGATCTAGAACTCGACCATCTCATGGTCACTGCCTCCCAGGTTCCTATCCACTTTTGCTTCTCCTATTAATTCTTCCCTGTTTGTGAGCAGGGAAGACTGCATGGGGCCCACAATTTGTAGGCCTCATAAACATAGGCCCTTCTTCCCACGCCAAAACATATGGAGTATTCTCTCACCCCTTAAGTCCTAACCATAACCTTTTCACAGGTCCAGGACTCCCTAAAAGGGTTAGTGGGGCTGTTCCATTCCATATTTCTAGCCAGGTATGCCCAGGATAATGATAAATACCTTACTAGTGATTATTTTTTTTAAATGTTCTATGTACATGAAAACAATCAGTATAAAATTGAAGAGCAGGAAGCAGCTGCACAGACAGCCTAATTACATACATCAAGGTAGGAAAATCAGAGCGCAGCCAGAGACACAGGAAACAGCAGGAAATTTCCATAGTTCTTGTTAGGTAACTCCTTTATTTTTTATGTATTATTCATTCTTTTTGTTTAGTGTATGTACTGAGGTAATACTTACACTTTGTCATATCCAGAGCTCCAGGGATATCCTGTCTCTCTTAATGAGGGTTTGATTTTACTTTCTTGAGACATGACACCAGATTGTTTCCTACTGGATTCATCCATCATTAAAAAGGCAGCTCCAAGGCATTACAGAGCTGCCCAGTTCATAATAATGAAAATTTGGAAATATTTTCAGGTGTTTTTAATGCCAACCTGTAATCTTTTTGTTTAACTTTGCATATTACTACATAGTCATCCCAAACAATAGTATAAAAAAATAACTAGTTTTCTTTCAAGTCAATTGCAACTAGAGATCTACACTGCAATTTGGTCTCACTCTTTGGATAATATTTACAAAGCAATAAAGCCTGTCTGGATATAATCTGTTTCTTTAACCACTAGAAAAGTTAGCAACAGTCCAAATGGAAGGTTTTCTTTCTATATAATTGCTTTGGTGTATAATCCAAGTCTTCGATGGGATACATTATTCTTCTAGCAGATACAACTGGGATACTCTATTCATCTGTCAGTCTTTCACAGTTCCAGCTACTTCATCAGAGGATTGTAAACACGAAAGATCAATGCTTCAGCTCCTGTGCTGCTGCAGATGTCAGAGCTGTAAATATGGTGCGATCTTTCGATTTGCCACAAGAGCCTCAATTCCTTCCATTTCCATGGGCTAGATTTCACCCAAACCAGTTATTAGCAACTTTTTTATGTTGAAGCTCCTCCTCATTCACCTTGGGATGCAGTGGCAGATGGACACCCCCGTTCCCTTGCACCATGTCCAACATAGTTGCCATGGTCTCTCCTTTCTCTGTTCTTTTTCTTTCTGGCATCTCCTTTTCTCACCTCTTCCCTCCCGCCTGGCTTGTCTCTTTCTCTTTTGTACATTTTTTCCCCTTTTTCTTCTTATACTTTGTTCTCTTTGCTGGCTCTTCTCCTACCCCGTTCTGGTGGTTCTGTTACCCCTCTCCATTCCCTCACTTTACCAGATAGCTACATGTTGCTTGGGGTGGGGGCATCCAGTGGTGCCAACAAAGCTGGGGGAGCCAGAGCAGCAGAGAAGAGAAGCCAGGCATTAAGCCTGCACCCTTGTACATGAGACCTGTTCTCACAGCCAGCTACATTAGGGCTCAACAGACGCAGGGAGTGAAGCGGGGGCTGCTTTTAAGAAGTCATGTGACAGTGTGTTTGTGGTGTGTGCAGGAGTGGGGATGGGTCTGAGGCCCTGCAGCTTTCACTATCCACTCTCCATTAATACATACTGTCTTCCCTTCCCCCCCGCATCCAAACGAATGTGGCACTCCTATGGGGGCCTGCCCCTCTACACTGAGCCAGGGAGTCTCAGAAGGGTAGGAGAACATACTATTCTCATGCTTCAGAGTAATTTGTTTGCCTCAGAGGTCACAAAGGAATTTCCCCCTCATATTTAGCATTATACAGGTGGCCAGGTGCATCATGTTTTGTTTGGTTTCTTTGCCTTCCTGTGAAGTGTAAGTCATTGGACACTGGTGGAGGTAGAATATAGGATTAGATGAAGCAGTTGTCTGATCTGACATGGCAAATCGTCTGTTCCTAACAAAAATGGATAGCATAGTCTTTGCTGCAGTCTTAATCTTAGCTACATCTAGTGTTCATAGTCCCCTAGGAACAATTGACTTCTGTCTGTAGAGGTATGAGGACTTTATTATGACAATTATCTTAAAAAACATGATATACCACGATAGCCACTACAGTATTTCCCTGCTCAACCATACATATGTGAATGTATTGAACAGGTGTTGGTAGAAGGAATTAACTTTAGTAACAAAAATTATAATGTTCACTTTCTCTATCACACAGTGTGCACAGAAGGCTACAACTCCAGACATGTGTTGAGTAGCTTCAAGAATGAGGCAAGGACACTAATGTCAATTGCAAAAGGCAGTAATTGTTAAAACACCCAAGCTATATAAAACCCCCCAGAGAAATACAGGCAAGCTCTGAATGGAGCGATATATTGAACCAGCCCCTACCACTACCAAAAAATGGCATGGTATCTTTAATGACAACACCTCTGTTTTTAAGATCTCATCTGAAACGCCAGGACATAATAAACTGCAAGGAACTCAACTTGTCTCCCTCAGAAGGATGAAAGGCTGAGTCAACGGTGGTGCAATTTGAACCCATGACTCCAAGTAGTCTCTGTCATTTCAAACTTGGGTCTTAGACAGCCAAGCCATTCCCTCCAGCTGTACCTTGTAATACATGACCTTCATTCTTCCCAAACTAGACTATTTCCACAAATCAGGTCATACAAAAGTATCAAAGAAATGGTGAAAGTCTGAAGAATTATCAACAGCCTAACATTAGTTTCTTTTAACCAGGAAGTTCTTCAAAATATCAAACTATTTGAGAGGGGGTAATTTTATATTTGTCTCATGCTCATTTGACATTTATATTAAAAAAGCATATGAAAAAGTACAGATAGTCACATGTAAGAAAAATTATACAAAGACAAATACATCAAATAAACCCTGATTTACCCATTACATAATTAATCCACCAGAAAGGCTCTTGAGACAGTACACAGAATCATACATTGAGCCTAATGTTTCACATTTACTCCAGTTTTATACCAGAGTAATTGCAATGGAGTTCAACTGGTGTAAAACTAGAGTAATGCTGGGAATCAGGCCCTTGTGTAAGAATGAGGGATCTGGTAGGCAGATGTTATCTCATGGCTGGAGATACCAAACCATTTTAGACAATACATGCAAGAAACATCACTTACCTAAAGCTCTCTGGGTACTCAGCGAGAGCCATGTTGATGACATCGAGTGCATGCTGATAGTGCTTTTGGGCTGAAAAAAGGAGAGCCAGTAGATGAAGTGAATTCATATCATCTTTGCACAGTTTCAGTGCTTCCTGAAGGTGTTCTATAGCATCAGAAATCTGAAAAACAAGAAATATTTTAGTACCAGTCACATAACTGATCTCTTTCCCAAAGGTATGAAACTTTTTACACACTCATGACCATTAGATATCTTGGCATCCTACTTGGGAATGTGGTGGGAAAACTGACTTTTGAAAGAAATTTACCTGCCAGCTCAAATTAATGGACTGTCAGCCTAGGAAAGCATGACAAAATGGCTGGGGATGAGAAAAGGAGTTTTTTGCCCCAGTATGAAGTAGGTGGCATGCAGCTGCTATTGCAAGGTTTCAGGAGAGGTGGGAATAGTAGACATGACCCAATACTCCCCTTATTGCTTTGGCTTTTGTGGTTCCATGCTGTGCACAGACCCAATAGCCATACCCCTAACATGACCAATTCCCATCAATCACGGGGAACTGCCAGGGTTTCTTCGCATGGTATGAACATATACATTTTTTCTGATATACTTTGTGTCTTATGATCACTGCACAAGGCCACTCATGATTTGGCCCAAGAAAGTGAGATCTAAATGATGAAAGTCCAAAGGTAAAATATGCTTAGGATTCAGAACAGTGTCAGGAAGGAGAAATGTCTCTGTTAGTTGCAAGGTAAAGTGCAGTCCTGACGCTTACAACAGAGGAACATCATTGGAATCAAGTTCCCACCTGGTGGAAACCTTAACTTCTATAATGAATGCAAATGCAACATCCAGTCTATGTGGTCTACAAAAAGAAGAACAGGAGGACTTGTGGCACCTTAGAGACTAACAAGTTTATTAGAGCATAAGCTTTCGTGGACTATAGCCCACTTCTTCGGATGCATATGCATCCGA